CCCCGATCAGTCTGATCACAGGACCTGCAAGATTCTCAGGATCAAGAAGAGAGTGGATCTCAATCACACGTCAATGACGACCACTACGCGTCGCCTGACCAAGCCTTTGATAACAAGAGGAAGTTTACACTCAACCATAATCCCACAAACACTTTAGTTTTGGTACAAGTTATTACCACACAACCTCAAGTAATTAATTAAGAAAAGGGACAGAAAACCCTCATTTAAATCCAAGCTAAAATGATTGAGATATACAAGCAAATACACACGGTTGATATTATTGTGAGAACAAGAGATCAAGGTTCTTGATTCATAATGTCCAAACATTTCCCTGATATAGAACTATACAGTAAATAGACATATTCACATTGAACATCTGGTCGGACGGTGAAAGAGATTCACCTTTCCGTTGAGTTGTACTTACTAAGGTAACAGTATTGTCCCGATTAAACAAAACATAACTATAGACACAGTGAACAACAGACAGGAATGCATCACCAATAATTGATAAACTACATTAACCTAAAAGCCACATCAGTAGAATGGAAGCTATGGGAATACCTGGGGGGGTCTAATGTGTTTCAAGTCACACACAGGATCTAGAAGACGCACCTCTACAATGGGGTGCCTACGTGTGTGTGTGTGTGTGTGTGTGTGTGTGTGTGTGTGTGTGTGTTGGTGCTCTTCCCAGGTGTTACTCCTCCGGTATCTAAATCTTTCTTTTAGTAATTTCTTTTGTTAAGTTTTCCCATCGTTCAATTTGAAAAAATATTTCTATATCTACATCCCTCCTGTTGAGGCATGTGTTATTTTAACACATGCCTCAAAATAAATGTGTCATAATCAGCATCAGGTCAGCTTCAGACTTCTTTGCATTGTCTCAAAGTTCGACGCTGGCTGGCGAGCTCTTCCTTTGTCTTTGTGACTTTCCATCACAATTGGACTTGCATTTGCATCCTCAGTCGTCAGGGCAGCTTACCTGCGTTCTCTACCTGTGAACTCAAAACTCAACTCATGGTTTGTTAGTGACCTAGAACATTCATGTATTCCTAATGAAAATGGTAGATTATCAATATATCATATATAGTTACATGTTTGTATGGTTTGTTGGTAAAATCATTACAGGATGATGGTCTGTAACAAAGTTTCCCATTCTGTACTGCCCTATGATCTAAAATGTGCTTCCGTCATTAAGATGCTGTATGAGATGTACCGTGCACTGTACATCTCATATCCACACTCAACAACTTGCAGCCTATCACTAAGTTTAAGAGAAAATAACAAATTATTTACAACAAGGTCTACAGATTTGGCTCAAATCACATTATTTCCCACTCATTTAAACGTCTCCCTCTGTGCTAACTATTTACATATATTCACCCACTGGACTGTTGACCGTCCCTACGTCCCTATGGGTCGCACCTCTCTGGGAACGACTCCCTTTTGTCTTACCAGACCGGCTCCACAGACAGCGTCCTGTCCTTTGTCTCTTGCCCAAGACCCATGGGTGTGTGTGCTAATGTGCATCTTCAGGTGTGCTGCTGCTGTGTGTGTCTGTGTGTGATGTGTTGCAGACTCTGATCAGAGTCTCTCTCAAACTCAGTAATTTGTAAAAATGTTTAAACAATAAATGGGAAAATTGTGTTAATGTAAGCAGAGAACAATTACATAAACGTTTAAAACAAAGAATCACATAGAGCCTAGAAAAAGTCCATAGACCGTTTGTAATGCAAGCAAAAATCACATGGTCCTAAGAATGGAGGAAGAAAAAAAATGTTAGGATCATTTGGAAAATGGAGACAGGGGAGACACTGTTTAATGGGAATACAGAGTGGAGGTGGGAAATACAGAAACTGTTACATCTGGTGCAACTTTCTTCTTTTAACTGTTGCCGGCTGCCATTTTGGAAATCTCCAAAGCACATGTTCTCCACCCCCAGTAGTGGTGGATAACAAGTCATTGTTGTCCCCTCTGTAGACCAAGCTGAGAATTTCTTTCTCAGCCATCTTTTAACTGTTTTCTCTATTTGTCTCCGCCCGCCATCCTGTAATGTTCCAAAAACATGTGCTCCGTCTTCCCCAAGACCAGGCCCCAATCAAATCCTTAATCCGGCTTCATTCTTTTCGAAACACGCAACATACAATTATATACAAGTTCGCAACGTTTTCAACTGATCTATATTTATTGTAAAAATGTATCCAGTAATTTATTATTTTCGGGTCTTGGCAGACGGCCGTGGCACTATCCTCACCCTTTTCGAATTTAAATTGTAACTTCCAGCCTTCAGGGTCTTGGCGCGCTGGTCCGTGACTCTGTCCTCACCTGCAAGGCGAGTTATATGATGACCTATTTCTTATCTTATCTCTTATCTCTTATTATTTTAGGTCTATTTATCCCTGCACTTAATTATCCGCAAAATTTTAGTCAGTTCTTGGCAACTACGGCGCGTTGCTCTGTCCTCACAAGTTCCAAATGTATTTATTTATCTTTTAGTTATCTAGCCTCATTGGCGTCGTCTAGTTCATATTTGAATTTATTGTGCCGCCTAACAGAGTCTAAAAGAGCTTACGGAGACAACGAAGAACCGCCATTACAACGCGAACCTCTTCCACTCAATTACTGCTGGTAACACTCCTCTGGTTCCATCAGGCCTTGTGGACTTAACTCTGCTAGCGCGTTCTACACAGTGCATTACGTATACAGTCTATAAATTGCTATACGTTTATCCCCAACCGGTTAGAGGCCTATACTAGGTTTCCATTCCTTCTATGACTGATCAGTTAAATAACGTCGCCCATTCACTTAGCGTTAACGCTACACAACCGAGCTTTGTCGGTAACTCACACAGACACGTCCAAACAAACACTATATACAATGTGCTTTTTATCACAACGGCCATTCAAGCTAAGAGAAAACATTTTTTTTCTCTAAAATGTAGTTTACCTCAAAACAACGTATCTTGTCCTCTCACACCTAAATGTTCTATGATAAACATACAGCATTTCGGTTTTAAAACAACTGGTTGCCGGTTACCTTTTCGATGGCGCCGTGTGAGTGAAGAAAATCGATCGCTGGGCTTTGTTCAGATCAGCTGTTCCTCCGTCCGTCCATTGCTCTCCATCACGTCGGGGTCACCAAATTGTTGTGTTCAAAAATGAAGAAACGCCGGACGGACAGAGGTCATCGCTGATCAAAAGGTTAAATCAAATGTATTTAATAAAGGAGATGGCGTTGTGGTAAAAAGAACATCTCAGCTGAGGAGCCGCTGGTCTCAGCGACCAACAGGCCCCAGGTCAGTCCTTTGACCATCCCTAGTGCCCGTCTATCGCCTCCACCAGCGAACTCCAGAACAATGGTTCCTACAGGTATTTATACCAATGCTTAAAGGTGTGAAAGTCAGTGTCCACACCTCTGGGAGTCTTCTGCTGAGTTCAATGTAACTCGGATTTCGAATGATCCTTAGTCAATATCAGTGGTTGTTCAAGTATTACATGCATGCATTCCAGTTGATTACATCAAATACAATCATAACTGCACATTGGTATTATTCTACTACAGTGGTTTTACAATATTGTCATTACTTTATTGATTACACAGTTTCAGAATCATGGCTGTATTCTGGTGTACACTATATGCATTTTCATTAATTTTATGAACCGGATCGTCTATTTGTTTATAATATCCTACAGTAAACACAACTTTAACGCGACCAGTCAAAGTAAAGATAAAGAATCTCACACGAATTGCATTTCTATAAAATCACTTTAAAAGCATGCGAAAGTAATTAATCAATGTCGGTTGGCATTTAATATAATATACATGACAAACTATGTTTTAACCTTCTAACATTTTGACATCTCATAGCAGTAAAATCAAGTATCTGAAAACAATAATGATGGCTGCATCTTATTTTACACAATGAGACTCACAGGAATAGTCATTGTTAACATCATTAGTTAGGGCTGTGATTTCCTGCTGGTAAAAAGTCTGCTGTGAAAAGGCTCCATAATAAGAAGGATTTGCCAAAGATTAAAATGTCAGTTATCAAAGTTTATTTTCTATTTGTTCACTTTCACTTTCATAAAACGCCCTTCCGTCAATTGAAGAATATATTTCGATAGTAAGAAGAGACTTCTTCATGTTCAGACTTTACGTTCGGTGAATAACTTCATCGTGGCCTTTGGCACAGACTCGATGACGTAAGAGCTGCTGGACTCCCCGCAGAGGCGATAAACATCCAGCTGAAACAGGTGTTTGGTCACAAGATGGCAGCATGTTTCCGCTGGTGTTTGGTCCCGTTATCAAAAGTGATTTACTTCAGCTGTGTGTTTTCCAGAAGTTTATCCACTTGTTTTTCTGTCAGGTGAAGCCATGTTCGAGTGTACCAGTGTAAGTCCTCTGTTTATAACAGGGGTCTCAAACTCAAGTCAGGTACGGGCCAGATGCAGCCCACCTCGACCGAACGCGGGCCAGACCATTATGGCCGACGGGGGGGATGACACTGACGGTCCGACCGGCGAACGGAAGGCGCTGGGGTGGAGGTTGTAAGTGGCTGCTAACAGCGAGGTTGCTACAATATAGAACTCGCGGGCCGCACTAACATTACACTTTCATATGAAGGCGGGGGCCACAAAATATCGTCCCGAGGGCCGCAATTGGCCCGCGGGCCGCGAGTTTGAGACCCCTGGTTTATAAGGTTAAGGCTATAGGATCCACACGTGATCTGATACACGCCGCTGCATTTCAACAGTATACAAATTGCCTCATTTGCAATTGTACAACGTGACATCGGTTTGGTTTACAGAGGCTGTTAGTTAGTAAATACACAACTTTAGTTACGGCGAAAGTAGATCATGAACCACCTCAATCTGCATAAATCAGGTGCACATAAATATTCAAATCTCAATTGGACCATGCATGAGACTTCACTTGCTCTGGGATCTTGGGTCCCCCCCCCCCCCCCTTTCCCCTTAACAGTGCATTGCAGCTTTAAACAGTCCACAATGCCTTGCGGTGTCCCAGTTCCAATGCGAGGTATTTACCAGCAGGAGTAAAGAACCGAGTGCGGGCTGATTTTTCCGCAGCTTGTTGGTGAGACCGCAGAAAGACCAGCGCGCAGTGAGGTCGGACACAAAGTTTCGCATCCAGGACCAGCGCGCCATTCGTCTCCGGCTCTTTCATTCTGCTACTCTATCGCGGCGGACAAACGATACTTTGTCGCGTTTTACCGGGACCGGTGGTGAAGAAGGACACTTTTTTTTACGGGGTTCACGCCTTTCTACCTGTGTTTTCTGACTAAACAACCCCCCTGGGACAAGGAGCCCTGCGGTGAACCTGATTTAAAGCTTTAAAGGTAAGACCATCACGCGGACCTTTTTAATAACAAACAGCTGAATGCGCCGCGCCGGGTCCCCCGCCGTGTAGTTGTGAGGCGCGGATAACGGAAACATTAGTGGAGTAGAATAGTTCTGCTCCTCCGGCAGCCCACCACGGCCCACTATAGCGCCATTTCTGTCCCAGTCCCCCGCAACGACGCGTGCACAGGTGAAGTATCACTGAGGATGCCAACGCGTAATGTCTCTCAGGATGTTAAATGCCGAGACACCGAGCGAGGGCTGCTACTGCTGATGTGTTTTTTCTTTTTGTAAATCTGCTACAGATCCGTTCGAGGCATTTGGAGAAGTCTTAGTAGGAGGCCTAATGGCTTGGGGAATCGAACATGTGAAAGATTCACTTTAAATGTTGCTTAATGTGGGCTGGCCTTTTTTTACACAGCGCCGGCTCACCAGGTTCAACATCTGTTTAAAAAAAAAAAAGCTCAGTGAATGTAACATGATAATCTGGTATTCATCTATGTAAAGTCCCAGTTCTGTGTGCAGCGGAAACCAACCTGTGGAGTTGTTCAACCCAGTCGCGTTGCTTCCTTCGTGAAGGTAGCACTTAGATCGTTGGTGTTTTTCCAGGGATTTTTCTCAACTAGGTTCAGTTGCTGCCCCGCAGGCGTTCTCCAACTCGACCTCTGTCTCGGTCTTGAATGCCCATGTTGTTTTCCTCAAATACCCCCATGTTCACCAATTTGATCGACTGCTGGAGGCAGTTTCGTGATGCTTGACATACTGTAAATCTCCCAAAGAGGCTCATACACTGCGGCAATATGGAGAGGTTGTATATCAGTCGTAATGGAACACCCACGGGAGCATATGGTGGGTTGTTTACACACTGGCAGCCAGTGGAAGAACCTTTCCTGCCAGAATTGTCGTCGGCAGCTGAGGGGGCAGGCTGCTCGATGCCGCTCGCGCCAACACACAAACACAGACGCACACCTCGCTGATCTGAGAAGAATCTTGAGTCAACACTTCTGAACAATTACAGGCCTGAAACAAACGTGCTTGGCAGTCATGAGGAGTTTGACGTTTTGACTGCAGTCGATCTTTGTCAGCTTTGTAAGCCCCTCCTCTGTCTCCTGAAAGGCCTCTCTGGCGTGAGATGAGCCGCACAAAATCAGGGACCAGGCGGTGGCTCTGACGGGCCGGCGGAGTGCAGCCTGCAGTGCTCGGGATGGCACTTTGCCCCGCACCGCTGTGCCCGTATCGCCAGTTGGGTTGTCCGTGTTAACGCTAAAAAATATAAATGTCACAAGTCCAGGACCAGAGCGAGTGGCATTTATAAATGCCCCGCTGAGTCTTGTGGAGCTTGTTGAAGGAAGAGTCAGTGGATCGGTTATGAAGTGTAGTGTTTTGTTTGAACCGTTGTCTCTTCTGTGTGTGCTTGATGCCAACTCCACATAGAGTAGATGCAGTTGTCCATGTTCCTCCTCCCCTCCGGCCCCCTCTGACTTTAGGTTTTTATACTGTGGGCAGGATTTTTAAAAGCACTTTCCCCTTCCCCCCTCTAGTAAGTCCAAACCTTCTCCCTGGCTGATCAACTGTGCCTGCTTTGCATCAAGGCCAACTCCGCCCCTATTACTGTTTCCACATCCTCCTGGAAAGGGGTTTAACAAAATGGTAACCGTGTTCAGGGTCACTGCAGGCATTGCTTTGCTGTGTTTGTGTGTGTGTGACTATTTTCCTGTCCATCCCTTCGCCTCTAAAGCCATTTAAGGGCAGTCTGAATGAAGGACTGAAGCACTTTCCAGCTAGTTGTGAATACGCCAAGAGCAGAGTGATCAAGTGTCTAGGAGAGCGACGGAGGGGAAACTGTGCCTGTTTGGGGGGGTTGGGGGGGTTTTAACTTTCTTAAATGTGAGGGGTGTTAATTTACAATGAAACAATCAATAGTGAAAAATTCAATAATCTCTGTGTAGCTCTACAAATGTTTCCTTGCAGCACCAGACCCTTCACAATATTCATGACTTTGAGAATGTGCACAGTGACTACGTGTGCTGGGGGAGGTGTAATTGCTGGGGGGGGGGGGGGGGTTGTGAACAAAAGGACCTTTTGACACTGAAGTATAGGTGCGGCGAAGGTTAGGTGCATGGCGAGTGATTCAGGTCTGAGGGAATGAAAAGCATTTCCCTTCGGTTAACTGTCCTTGAAGGACATTCAGAAGGATATCTGACCCTTGATGGGTATTTCATAGCCAAATATTTCAATAGCTTATCACCTTTTGTGCTTTGATAATGTAACAGAGGATTCTGTGAATCTTTAAAAATGCTTTAGGATTCAAGGCGGAAACCTTTTGTATAAGACTTCACGAAGACGGTGCATCTCTGATATATTGTTCCTCGTAGCGTAGTATCGACTGCTCTACTTCTAACTCCGCAAGGAATAGAGAATATAACTCTGCAGAACACTGAACACACCTTTGACATGAAACACCAAACCCTACTCTTCCCCCTCGAGTTGTGATTCATCTGGGTCGGCCTTTTTTTTCGTCATCCCGTCTCTGTTGCAGACCTCTTTGTCACTGATCTGTCGGTCTTCCTGCTTTCTTAGCAGTTTCCCTGTAATTCTTTGTACAACAGCAGGAAAGCAGACTCTTCCTGCACTCCCCCCCCCCCCCCCCCCCCCACCACCACCAACAGACATGTACCTATTCATAGAGAAGAACAAAACAACTGCATTATGGCCAGCTGGTTCTGGCATGCCTGGCTGTAAAGGTCCATTCTCAACTAGGCTGTACTTTAGGCGCGAGCCACTGCTAAAACCACACCTTTTATGTGTTCTCTGTAGTACGACAATTAGTACGGTCTACTTTTCTGTGTCAATTCTTTCTCCGCACAGGCAACTGAAGAGTATAAGTGCTGCCTTGAGCACATCCTGGATAACCATTTCCTGTTTACCCCCAGTGTTCCCCCCCCCCCCAGTGAAGGAGCCAGAAGGACTTCTGCTGCCGCTGGAGCCTTCGTAATGACGGGGCAAACGCAGAACAACCGTCCCCGTTGCTTCTGACTCAACATGGAGCTCAAGGTCTGGGTGGACGGCGTCCAGAGGGTCGTATGCGGGGTCACCGAGGCAACCACCTGCCAAGAAGTGGTGATTGCTCTGGCACAGGCAATAGGTAGATGCCTTCCTGCTATGAAACCACACCTGAGATAGAAACAGACCTGTGAAGACCTTCTGCTGAGTTGTATATTTGACAAGGGAAAGTGGATATTGGGAATTGGGCTGTGTCCATTAAACTGATACCCAGGCGGTTCAGTGCTGAATACAATAATACCTCGGTTAATATGCTCACGTATATGAATAAGTATAAAGTTGTTTTGAAACATTGGTAGCTCTGTATCAACACTAGGCGCAAATCTGAAACTGTCTCACGCGTGTAATGCTTCATCTTCTGTTTAAGTATTTGGGTTAAACCTTTTACAGTTTCCTTCACACTTTGAAAATGTGACGGTGGAAAACTAAAAATTAATTGAAGCTCCTATTTTGATCGACACAACTTTAATTTGAGTAAAGCTCACAGAATATTTAAAATTGCCGTATGTTTGTTCCTTCCTTGGATCTAAGTACCCCCCCCCCCCCCCTCCCATATGGCTGCTCCAGGAACGGGGCGCTTCAGCAGACTGTATTGACATCACTTCCCACAGAGGGCTGGGTAGGAGGAGGGAAAGTCTGACTCATCCCTCGGTCTCCTGCCAAACTGAAAAAGCAGCACTTCCACTGCATTTTTTTATATTACAAATGTATAACCTATTTTAAGGGATTAGACACCAATATTGATTCAGAACTTTTGGAATTTTATAATTGTTTCTTTTATACACACTTGGGTTGAGTCTCTGTTTGATCTAAACAGCTTTAAACAGTTTATTCTTTATAAACATTGAAACTTCTGTGATATGAAGAGGTTGCAAAGTACTGAAGCCACTGCAGCTTCAGGCGAAAAATGCAAGCTGGTTCAGTTCACCAGACAAGACATTGCGAGCTGTCCGAAACACTCGGCCAATTTGAATATTGTTATTAGGTTGCCAGAAACACGGCCACACCAGGATGACAATGTCCCTCCGTGTCTCTTCAATGTATAAAGCTCTTCTATCTTAACAGTTCGGAAAGATGCCAGGAAATCATTGTTGCATTTCCGTAAGTTCGTTTGCAATCTTTACCCAATTTAGTGGAAATTAGCTTGAAGCTTTTTGGTTAGATAAAAGGCCTAATCCTTGCATTCTGGGAGAACTATAAAACTGCAGTAGAGTTTGTAAAAACATTATTTTCTTTCTGAAGCTAACCCTTATTTTTACAGGTCGCACTGGGCGGTACACTCTGATGGAAAAATGGCGGGACTCTGAGCGTCACCTAGCCCCTCACGAGAGCCCTGTGGCTTCCCTCAACACGTGGGGCCAGTATGCCGGGGATGTCCAGCTGATCCTGCGGCGAACGGGTCCCTCCTTGACTGAACGACCTCCCTCAGAAGGACCCCCTCTCCGGGGGCCTGAACGCGGTCCGCACCGGCAGAGCCTACCGCCCCTCGCGAAGCTTCGACACCCCAACGATCGCTCCCTCCTCCGCCGCCGCGAACCGCGTCGTAAGTCTTTGACCTTCACCGGTGCGCCCAGAGGCCTCCGGGAGATATTGAACGGGGGCCGGATCGCCGAGGCGAAACAAAGGCTCCTCGTGGGAGATGGCGGCACTCACCACCACGCCAGACCAGCCATCGGGGCGGCGTCACCTGACCTGTGGGCCTGTCGCATGGAAGATCTGGTCCGGCTGGTCGGTCTACAAAGGGAGACTCTCAATGTGCTGGAGAAAAAGCTGGAGGCCTATGAGGCTGAGCTCCAGGCCTGCGCCGACGGGGCAGGGGAGCGAGGTAGAGGGTGCATTGCCGACCGGGGTGGAGGAGGGCTGATGGAGGAGATCCTGAGGTTGGAAAAGCATCTGAGGAAGAACGACGTTGAGATGGAGGAAGGGGAGTTTTGGGCCACTGAGCTGCAGATTGAGCTGGAGAGTGAGCGGCAGCTGGAGGAACGACTGCATGAGCTAGTAGGACAACTGCAGGGCTGTGAAGTGGAGATTGAAGAAAAGCTTTCAATGGTACAGGTGTGCTATGTGTGGGTGATGTTGAACAAAAGATCTGATATTTTAGTTGCAGCTCGTGTGGAAAAACTAAATTGACCAGCTACGAGTTAAAGAATGAAAGTTGATATATTAGTTGGTGCCATGGCACCTTTTTTTTTTCCAAATGTGTTTAACTCCGCCCTATCAGAGCGTAGAGGCCGGCCTGGAAGAGGAGCAGCTGCAGAGGCAGCGGCAGGAGACCCAGTGGGTGAGCGAGGCTGAGGCTCGGTCTCAGATGCTCCGTGCCAAAACGGAACTGAAAGCCCAGGAGAGGCAGGCCGTCCAGTTAGAGAGTAGCTGCAGAGCGGTTGATCGCTCGCTTGGACAAAGCACCAAGAATCTACAGGTAATGAGTATGCACTCATTCATATGCTTATTTGTAAGCTCTGTTTTTAAAAGTGCTGAATAGAGTTTTAATGATTATTATAAAGTACTTAGTACCTATCACCATATAGCGAAGGTAATTTTGTTTAGTGTCTGGACATCAAATTACTCTAATACTTCTATATGTATAATCTGCATTTGTAGATGTCTGTTTGAAGCTATTTGTATCATTTCTGATGCAGTTTTTTCCTCTTCTTTTTCAGGATATGCAGCACGGGCTTGAACAGCTGACCAAGGAGCTGAGGCAGGTTAACCTGCAGCAGTTCATTAAGCAGACCGGCACCAAGGTCACAGTGCTGCCAGCCGAACCCAGTGAGGATGAAAGTACTCACCGCACTCATGTTATAGGTACCTATCCTTTTTCTTTTGAACATTGAATCATTTTTCACTTAATAGTAATACCGGAGTTCAAGATTCATCTGCAGGACATCCTTATTATAAGGAGTCACGTACTGATACTAGTAATATGCCATGAGCGCGCCAACCCTGCAGTAGTTTTTGTGTCTTTTTTAAAGTGCAGAACCAAGGCTTAACTGATCTGAAATAGTAACCCATGGCGACCTAAGTGAATGCCAAAGTGCATGCAGTCTGAAGATAAATGCCGCCTTTTGGTCGCCTTTCAGATTGGCAAGACATGACTTATTTTTAAGTACATGAAGTGAAGAGTGCCAAGAGAGTGCACTTATTATTATTTTTTTTCCGTCCTGTGTCTTCACAGCATGCTTAGAGAAAATGACTAAGCTTAGCGTTCAAGTGTGAGTCCGTGAATGTTTGAAAGATTGAGATTGACTGAATGGCTGAATCTGGAGGGGGTAGGGGCAAGAATCCTTTTAGTTTTTACCCACTCCAGCGGCAATTACTGTCTCCATGCCAATAGCTGCCTGGATACAGGCAGACCCGGCGTCATTCATTCCCCCTACTTTCTCTGTCTAACCTCAACGCTTCTATCACGCTGTCACTGGATCACATGCTCAGCAGTTTCGATGATGGATTTTTTGAACCGAAGCGCTGCCACCTTACAGGAGATGAGCAGATCCATAAACCGCTAAAGAGCCGCAAGTAATGGGAGAACTTTCACAATGAAATAAAGACGAGCTGTCAGCCAACTGGTTATTTAAAACCTCCCACTAATGTTGCATCAATAATCTCATTGGTGATTAATCGTGATTACGATTTGACATTTGACTAGAGCGAGTTTTAGGTCCGACTAGAGCAGTGCATTCTGTGTTGGTAGCAGGGAAGTTTATCAATAGATACTCAAATGTAGTTAAGAAGAAGTTAAAAAAATAAGCCTGCAAGCGCGGAAATGATTGTGAATTAAAAATGTACACTTAAATAAATGTGAAGTTAAACCTCCGAACAAACCGACGAATCCTTTTGAAAAAAACCAAAACCTTAGAAACTCATGATAATGAAAGAAAGAAGGCTCATCAACAGAGCCGGTCCCCCACTGACTGACTATAACATTCCACCGGTCACTCCCCTTCACACTGCACACACTGACAAACCCTGGTTCACAGCGGAACTCAGAACACTACGCCTGCAGAAGGATCAGGCATTTAGGAGTGGGGACAAAGACTTGCAACAGAGGCAAAATACAAGTTTAGCAAGGCGGTGAGAGACGCTAAACGACTGTACTCTGAGAAACTCCAACAACAGTTCTCAGCAAGTGAACACCTCACCAACTACAAGCCAAAAACCCCCCACTCCATGAATGACCTCCGCCTGGCAGACAAGCTCAATGAGTTCTACTGCAGATTTGAAAGACAATGTCCTGATCCCATCCCCCACAGCTCCACCAACCTGCTGCAGTCCCTCTCCCCTCCCTCCCCCAGCCCATCAGGTGCTCACGCCTCTTCATCTATATCACCTTCCCCTCCCCCACCAGCAGGGGACGTTAACCGGCTCTTTAGAAGACTAAATCCCCGTAAGGCAGCCGGTCCGGACTCAGTCTCCCCTCACACCCTGAAGCATTGTGCTGACCAGCTGTCTCCGGTGTTCACTGACATCTTCAACACCTCACTGGAGACATGCCACGTACCAGCCTGCTTCAAGGCCTCCACCATCATCCCTGTCCCCAAGAAGCCCAGGATCACAGGACTCAATGACTACAGGCCCGTCGCCCTGACCTCTGTAGTCATGAAGTCTTTTGAACGGCTAGTCCTGACCCACCTGAAGTCCCTCACCGACCCCCTCCTGGACCCCCTGCAGTTCGCCTACAGAGCCAACAGGTCTGTGGACGATGCTGTCAACATGGCCCTCCACTACATCCTCCAGCATCTGGACTCCCCAGGAACCTACGCCAGGATCCTGTTTGTGGACTTCAGCTCTGCTTTCAACACCATCATCCCGTCTCTGCTGCAGGACAAACTCTCCCAGCTGCACGTGCCCGACTCCACCTGCAAGTGGATCACAGACTTCCTGTCTGACAGGAGGCAGCACGTGAAGCTGGGGAAACATGTCTCAGCCTCTCGGACCATCAGCACCGGTTTCCCCCAAGGCTGCGTTCTTTCCCCTCTGCTCTTCTCCCTGAACACCAACAGCTGCACCTCCAGCCACCAGTCCGTCAAGCTCCTGAAGTTTGCGGATGACACCACCCTCATTGGACTAATCTCTGGTGGGGATGAGTCCGCCTACAGGTGGGAGTCTGACCATCTGGTGTCGTGGTGCAGCCAGAACAACCTGGAGCTCAACGCTCTAAAGACAGTGGAGATGGTTGTGGATTTCAGGAGGAACAGAGCCCCACCCTCCCCCATCACCCTGTGTGACTCCCCCGTCACTATTGCCGATTCCTTCCGTTTCCTGGGCTCCATCATCACCCAGGACCTCAAGTGGGAGCTGAACATCAGCTCCATCACCAAGAAGGCTCAGCAGAGGTTGTTCTTCCTGAGGCAGCTGAAGAAACTCAACCTGCCAAAGACGATGATGGTCCACTTCTACACGGCCATCATGGAGTCCATCCTCTGCTCCTCCATCACCGTCTGGTACGCTGCAGCCACAGCCAAGGACAAGGGCAGGCTGCAGCGTGTCCTCCGCTCTGCAGAGAGGGTGATCGGCTGCAATCTGCCGTCCCTGCAGGACTAGTTTGCTTCCAGGTCTCTGAAGCGAGCTAAAAAGATCGTGGCCGACCCCTCCCACCCCGGACAAAACCTGTTTGTGCCCCTTCCATCTGGCAGGAGGCTGAGGTCCATCAGGACTACGACCTCCCGCCACACGAACAGTTTCTTCCCGTCGGCAGTCGGGCTCATCAACAGAGCCGGTCCCCCACTGCCTGACTATAACACTCCACCGGTCACTCCCCCTCATACTGCACATGACACTTTAACTGCAATTCATCACTTTGTCGTCACTCGTCACTTTGTCTCTTGTCTGTTACTTGTTTGTTAGTGCACTTTATGCTTAATATTTTCTTTTTAACTTTTTAATATTTAAATTTGTTTAACTTTATTCCCTTGTTTTATACTAACCCATAGCCTTATTCTACTAACCCATTGCATTAGCATTTGATTCCACTTTATTTTATTACTTGTGCACTGCTGTCTTGTCTGTCTACTGTCGCGCACTAACCGCCAAGACAAATTCCTTGTATGTTTGACATACTTTGGCTAATAAATGTTTCCTGATTCCTGATTCCTGATTCCTGACATGTCACTTTAACTGTCATTTATCACTTTGTCGTCACTCGTCACTTTGTCTCTTGTCTGTTACTTGTTTGTTAGTGCACTTTATGCTTAATATTTTTCTTTTTAACTTTTTAATATTTAAAATTTGTAACTTTATTCCCTTGTTTTATACTAACTCATAGCCTTAGCCTTATTCTACTAACCCATTGCATTAGCATTTCATTCTACTTTATTTTATTACTTGTGCACTGCTGTCTTGTCTGTGTACTGTCGCGCACTAACCGCCAAGACAAATTTCTTGTATGTTTGGCATATTTTGGCAAATAAATGTTTCCTGATTCCTGATTCCTGAAATACATTTTTGTGTGCATTAATGCTGCTAGGGGGAAAATAATACAAATTCTATCCAGTCTGCTTCTAAATGAAACACATGGTTGTGTGAATCTTGGAGAAGCTTCACAATTCACACCCACTTCAATTAGATTTGGGTTCAAATGTGTCGCTTAGTTAACGCAATCTTAACATGAATCGGTCACCTCACCAAGGAACTGTTATTTATTTTTCTGATTGCATGCCATAGACATCATCATTGAATCGCTGAGAGCACCAAGTCTCATTATTGCAGCGATTGTTTTCATTTATGGGACATAATGAATTGAGTGATCACGTTCTTCCAGTAACCTTCCAATTCACGTGTGTAAAATCCGGCAGTGCTTTTGGTCCAGGCCATAAAACTCACTGCATCTGCAGATTCCCTGCGTAGCTCGGTACTGCACCCTGGAGGCACCACAGCACAGCTGTCATGCAGCATCCACAGGACTACGTGGTTCTTGTTTTTCTGGCTGTATATTTCCAGGACTAAACCTTTTTTTTTAAATACACTTTTGGATATAACCGCTTTTAATATTCTTCCTTTTCATATGATTGCATATTTCTCAGATTTAGTTCCCCTCTCTGGCTCCCTGAAGCGTCCGGTGTCGTCGCACGCCAAGTCCAGTCACCTCCGGATCCTCCACAGCCCTCTCACCTCCGGCCTGAATCCAGAGGGCATCTATGTGTGAGATGTCTCTGCCACGAGGCAACGCGTCGCGTCTCCTTTCCGCCATTTGGAACACGCTTGCAAGTGGATGTCTCTGTACGGGATTCCTCGGTGACACGCTACTATGCGCTGCTGTCTCAGTTACCTGAAGGCGACCATGAGTGTGACGACTGAAGAACCGAAGGTACAATGTGAATCGTGAAAAATGGAATTTCTGGAGCACTTGGTGTGAATGCAAAAGTGGTGGGAAGGAGCAACGGAGACGTATCAGGATTTTGTAAACATCAGGCCACCGTGAACTTTATAAACAAATCCACATGATCTACTTCAGTAACTGATGAATGATTTGTATTGATTTCTCACTAGCATTATGATTCAGAACTATCGCCTTTTGAATAGTATTCTTGAGAATCTTTGTATGTGAATTTATTAAATATATCTCGTACGTTATTTCTATAGTGAACATGTTTTACCCAGCATAACATCTTGTTCTTATGAAAGCAATAAAGGATCCACATGCGGTTGCTCTCAGTTCATGTTCACGTCAACTATGCACAAAAGGTCAATCGTTTTGTTGTTAAGTGTGTGTGCGTGTGTGTGCACCAAAATGATTGCTGACTGTATATGTTTTCTTAGTTTTGAGCTTCTTTTTTTTTGGTGAATTATTATATTTTATTAGAAAGCTGTGCATTTACAGTTACAAAAATGCAGTGGCCTGATTCTTGCTAATATACCTTCGTAATGAAACCGTGTAAATTACCCTCTTAAGCAGATTTTTGTTGTTCAGATTGCTAAACAGTATATTTTTGCCAAATGTGTTAAGCTTGTTTATTTCTGTAAGGCTGGATGGCCAAAGGTTAGCAGGTCTTGTTGCATGACTGTGTTGTTAATAGAGCCATATCTGGAAGTGCAGACCCACACTACAGTAAATCATATGGGGGGATCTGGTGGCATGTAATAAAACAGATATCTACGGTGTGTGTGATTTAAATAGGTGTGTGTGTATGCAACGTCTGAATAGACGCAGAATGAATTCCCTCTTAGGTCTTAGTTCAGCTGCTAATCACTTCAAAGTGCCTTATATTCCTTTCAGAGTTGGTGAATGTGAATAATGTGCAGGGAAGCTTTAGTAGACACATGGAAGCAATGATCGTAGTCAGTTTGGAGCAGCTGCTCGATGTATTAGTGCCACATCGAAGCCCACAGAGATACGGCACAGCATCAGAGAGGAAAGTATCTTAGGTTTCATCTGTCTGTATTTTGTAGAAATATGAATGTAACCAACAATATTGAAAGTTCTTTCCACTCTGCTACTGTGCGATTCTCACCATAATACTATATGCTGTAAAATCTATTCACATTTGATCTGATTGATTTCATCTACAACACATGTTGTGTGCTTTATTCAGCACCTTCACACCAGAATAACATTTTTGATGTGATACAGAAGAGGAGTCCACACTGCAACATTCAGTATCTACACTAAAATAAAATACATTTCCACTGCAGTTTGTAGCGTTGCTTTTTGGTTAAATGAAGTCAAATCTAATCCATCATAGTCTATATAAGTGAGCAGATGTTTCCCTTTAAGAAACCACTTGTGTGCTTTTTCCACCTGGGGATGATGCATTGCTGTGGTCACTGTTTACAACCGTGTATGTTCTAAGATGTCGATTGTACATAACCTGTTTTATTTGTCCATGCCTTAATATACTGCAATGTGTTGACAGGCGTGTGGCTGTAACTGGCTGCCGATGTGAATGATATTAATTGCATGATTCAATAAAGCATCTGACCAAATGAAATGTGTCCCAGTGACTGTTTGCCAGTGGATCCAAATGAGGAAGAACGTGCACTGTGTGGTTCAGCGCTCTTCATGGTTGCAGGCTGTTTGGCCAGTAGATGGAGACATTCTCCCAGTGTTAGAGACGTGGGCTCATCATGGCCCAGAAATAAGTGAGAAGCCTGAAACAGCACATGTCTTCGTATGAAATATATATAAATATAATTAAACAATGCTTCATATATGGTGTATTAGAGGAGCGGAGGAAGTGTGTGGAGGGGGGGGGCGGTATCTGGTTGAAAAAAAGGCATCGACGCCTTCTCCTAAAATGTCAAAGTTATGCTAACTGGTTTGTGAAGATACTGACGTAACCATCATTTAAAGTGTAAACAAAGGAAAAGTAACCCTTAAAGGTCAATGGGTGGACTTACTGAACCAGGAGCAGCAGCTTAAGGTGATGTGCAGGCTCTTTATAACACTTTAAATGCATCTGAATTAAGTCAGAAACTCAAGTTTTGAATCTCTTAAAATCATGCATAAAGATTTATATAAAGTTGCTGTGAGTTGGTTTATGGGAACGAAAAAGAGTGGATCTGATCCCGCTGAAGGCATCTGACAAGTTGGGAGGAGGCCCCTTGTTTTTCATCAGGCTTTAGACTGAGTGTAATCTCACTTCATCATCACATCACATGTGTTCAAAGCCGTGGCTTACTGTACACTACATTCCGCGCGGTGACCTGTCAGCTGATTAGAGGCTTAGCAACGGTACATTTCATCTGTTGAACTTTTGGTATCCTTTATTCACCAAACTGTGAAATATTGTCCTGTGGATACATTACGTGGTGTCTTGCACAGTGTGTGTTGTTACCCATGACCCAAATATCACATGTTGGCAATGATTGGAACAATGTCGAACCACCTCATGAACCTCTCCTGCAGTTTTTTGGGATTTGCGCACGAAACCAACTAGTGGCAAACAAGAGGAAGCCTGCAGAGTTTAGTTTCGATATTTATTTTACAACTCATCAGCAATAATTTATAACAGCATATGTGTAAAGCATTAACGAAATGTGCAACAGTTGCTCAATTCAATGTTTAAAAAAAAATCCATAGACTTCTACAACATTGACAGACGTATATTTTATGGTATATTCACAAAAGATATTTATAGACACACATGCCACATTATATAACAGTTGATAACAGAGTGTAGTAAACTACAAAAGCCAATGTTTGCAAAATGCAATGGAAATCATGTTAATTCGGTCACATGTGAAACTTAAAGCTGAATATCACTATACTTCCAGGAATGAATCTCATAGAAAACAGGTCAAGATAGAGTCAACGGTTCTTAAAATATGTGATGGTCACATGACTACAGCTTCTATCCCACCTTTGTAAAATATTTGATTAGCAAGGTTTAACGTAATAATAGCATAAAACACAAAATCGAGGATAGTCCGGTTTGTCAAGAGGTTTTCAAATCTTATGATCTGAACAGTTTTTGCTTCGAAAGAGCCAGAAATAAACAGTATTTTGTCAAATTCATATGACTTAATGGCCACACATCTCTTTTTTTTAAATGAAATATTTTGTTTTACTATTTCAAGACAACTCAACACAATAAAAATGTTCTGAGGGAACTACTGCTATTGACTCGTATGAGGGGACTTTTTGGGAGAGCAAGAGCAGAAAAAGTGCACTTTACATCTCAAAGAGTAAAGATCATCCTACAAACTTTAACAGCTGGGAAAATACAGGTACATTCAATATCAAAGATCACTAAGGTGCTATCCTACGACGTTTCTTGGAGGTGCAGGAGGTCACCGTGTTGAAATGCCTCATTCAGGAGATGTACAATATCAGGTCAAGCAGCCCCTTTGTAAACGAAGGGTTTCTTCTTTCAATTACCCTGAATGATTCCAGCGATCAGCATTTTTTTTTCTTTCCTCACAAGAACAAGTAAATGAAACCAGAGTTGACTCTGTAAGTGTGTAAAAATGAAGGAAACCAGGCATTACACCTGTAAACCAACTTCCCCATCCATCACCTTTATTATGTGTGAAGTAGTTATTTGTTTGTGTTGTAAATGATCGGGCATCCCAGTTATTTCTCTCCCACACTCCCAAATTGGGGATGAGGTACTGTGGCCGGTCCACTTCATGGGGGGGGGGGGGGGGGGGGGGGGGGGGCACTTCTACCAGCTCCATTAAAACACGTTAGTGATTCCGCCTTTCTTTCAGGTGACACTATTTACAGTCAGAGTCAGCCAAGCACTTGATAACCTTGGCAGAGGTCAGTTGCAACTTCATACATCCAAAGAGACACGCTGATTGGGGTGTTGCGCCCTGGTGTCGTATACTCAAAGTTTGGGCACCAATGCTGCCACTTCAAAATATATTATCAAAGAGGATAAAAAACGTACTCCAGCACAACACACATCATTAGTCAAACTGAATGATTATCGACAATGATTGAAATGAACATTCATTTCGATCATTGTCGATAATCATTGAGTTTGACTAATCTAGCAGAAGTGCAAAAGGCACACTCAGTCACAACTGTTTCCACCGATATTTTTGTACATGAGAAACCTCTGTGAAAACCTCGCTTTATCACTAGTCTAACTTTAGAAAAGAAGAAGAAAATAAAAGGAAATTCACGCTCTTCGGCAGAGTGCACTGAGCTGTAACAAAGGACAACGCAATTAGCTCGTTTGACACGAAGCTGAGCGCGAGGACTGTCCTCGCTCTCTTAGGACGCGTCTGCTACGTCATCCTCCCCGTAGTCGATCCCGGGACTATCCTCTTGCTCCCCTGGTGACCCGAACTCAGCATCGCGTGACTCGTCGCTCTCTGCACCGTGGAGGTCCTTGGACCCAGGACAGGCTCCAACATGCACGGACAAGCCGGGGAAAGCCGCAACCGCAGCCGCGGCTGACGCGTGCGCGGGGTACGGCCAGGGGAAAGGAGATGCCAGAGCGGCCGCCGCTGGGTACATGTACTTTTCAATGTTGCTTTTGTCAAAAAATGGCATATAAGAAGCAGCGGCCGAAGGGTTGATGAAGTAGAAAGGCATGCAAATAGGTGTTTGCTGTCCCGCACCGCTTATTCCCACCAGAGAGTTCATAAACGCCAGATCGGGCCTAGCGGGGTCTCCGCCACCTGACCCGTTCCCAGGCCAGTTCATCTTTGGGTTTTTTGCAACGCGATCATCTCCAAACTCTTGTTTGATCTTCACCACCTTGGCTCCCTGCGCGTTATTGCGCTCACATTCTTTATCTTTGCCGTCGCCCTTTTCGGCTTCGCCCCCGTAGCCGCTGTCCGTGTCCGTGTCGTTCTCGTTGAGCTCCCCGCCTTGGGTCCTCTGGATTACCGGGACACAATTAGCTTGGCTGTCGGCTTTGTGGCCGTCCTGTGCGTCCCCGGCGGCGGGTAGCTGGTGCTGGAGCGGCGGTGCGCCGGCCTGGAACTGCGCCAGCACCTTGTGAAGGTGGCTGATGAGCTGCGCGCACCGCTGATCTCGCGTCGTCCAGTTCTCAAACTGACCCAGATACTGCAGGACCTCTTTGGCACAGGCCTGGAAGCCGGAGTGGAACGCGTCCAGATCTGCGTGTATGGACGAGTTCGCTATCCGGTCCCCTGCGAAAAAAAGCAGTTCAAAAGGTCATTTTTTATTTTGTAAATCGTAGCACAACACGAGCCAATGAGCTAATCAAGTGGGCGCGCGTCAATGGCGCGTTTTTAACCATAATATTGTGGTATTCTCAAAATGCGCATTATTGATGCGCCTTGTTTCCATTCGCGTTACATTTTGCTGCTGTGAAAACCTGACTTTTGTTCTACAAAAAAAAAAAAGTTTCACCCAAAACGTTGTTTTCCCAACATGGGGCTTGTTCATCTTACCATTCTGCAAAGCAACGATCTTCTGGTGCTGCTGCTCGGTGACGGCCGTCAGAGCGTTCAAGTGCTTTAACGTCAACTCCAGGACAACCGCTTTCTCCAGATGCCCGAGCGTCTGCGGAGGAGACAGAAAAAAAGCTGGTTCAGTTGGACTCACGACTCGTCGCGTTGCGTAAAAACAAAAAACAAAAACACCCGGGTCCGGTGAGCCGGTTAACTAACCGACAGCTTCAGATGCTCGGGTAACAAATCTTTCAGCTGGCCGATACATTCGTTGATTCTGTCTCTCCTCTTCTTCTCTATCAACCGGTGAGGTAACTTGTAGGCGTCCTGCTGGCAGCAAAAATAAAGATATACAGTATATGTGTGTGTATGTAAAAAGTATTTGCATGTTATGACTTTCATGCAGACGCGAAGGTCGGTTAATGAAAAAAAAGCTAAACAATGATATTGCCTTAATAAACCACACATACCTTCCCACCATCCTCCCGCTTGATGCCTCGTTTGGATTTGCACATGTAGAGAGAGGAGTAATCCACTCTAAAGTGAAGCGTAAAGTGTCTGGTTATGCAACGACTTCTCAATGCCGTTTATCGGACAGCGAGTTTCACAGAGTTTGCCACAAAAAAAGCGACACTCACCCCAAGAAATCTGCGTGATCCATAAACTGTCTGTCCTGTAAATGCGTGATTCTTTCATCCATCGCGTCTCTGCTGCTTGCCGAGCTTCTTTGCGGGGAACGGTGGTTGTTGTTGTTGTTTTTGTTCTTGTTTTTGTTGTTGTTGTTGTTGTTCACACACACACGGACGGCTGAGAGGGGAGACGATGCACAGTGCGTGTCCTCCGGTGCAGCTGCGCGTTTAGACTGATGTCGGTAGTTCCCTCGGCGTCTCTGGTTCCCCGAGCTGCCACTTTGCAAAGCCGTCGGTTCTTGCGGTCAGAGCGCAGGCGCGCCTCCGGTTGGGGGGGAAAACAGCTTCCGACTCACGTGCAGCCTGCACCAGCAAGAAAGTCCGGAAATTAGACCTCCCTGGCGTCATAGCAGCTATGGCCGCCGCTCGTGAGGCGATAAAGTCCCATCCGCGTGCTGAAAACGTGATTGGTGTGCAACGCGCGGGGATGGGTGAATGGCGCACAGGCGCGATCGGAGACGAACGACGCCACGTAATCGTGCGCGTTGGATAACGGTGTAGTGTCGATGCATAGGATGTCATTTGGGCAACCCGAGACGGTCTTACCTTAAATAAATACTGGTGTAAGTAATGGGATCGACTATGGGACAGGAATCTCACATATCTTACAAATGCGTCTCTGTCAGTTAAACACACACACACACACACACACACACACACACACACACACACACACACACACACACACACACACACACACACACACACACACCAATTACATTATTGATCTCACCCCCAAAGACTATATTGCATTCTATAGACACTGAAAACAGAGTTTAATGTGAATTGAATGCAGTTCAGAGCGCGACATGGTCTAAACGGGTGCGTGTGCACGCGGCACGCGCGTGTCCCCGGATGTTGTTGCCCGGATCGGGGCAGGGTAATCTATTCATACGTCCCCAGCCGCTCAAAGCTGCGTTGTCAGTAACCATGGCACCGACCCAACTGTGTGCTCAGACACGTGCGCAGAGCTCCTTTGTCACTCGCAGCAGCCGGGTTGCTGCTCTCCCTCCTTCACCACGGTGTCTTTGAATGTTAAAATAATATAACATTTGAAGAAAATTAAAAAATCGCCTGGCAATTAGTAAATGAGTTTTTTTTTTACTTTTTCTTGTTTTTTTATTTGTCTGTTCAAGTTTCGTACCTTCCAACAAAATTTATTTTTTACTAATTATAAATGTTTAACACTGACTGATTGACAGTGGCACCTGTTCCTCTCTTGAGGACGTTTAAGTGCTCAAAAACACCAACATCTGAGCCCCCGTAACGCCCCCACATGCCTCATGATTACATTACTTCTTCCAGTTAGTCAGGTGACTCTTTCTGGCTGGCAGCACAGGGCTCTCTTGTGCAACACCGCTGACAATGAATGACCCCATCACTCCGCCTTTTAAATGAAGTGTGACGTCCTGTGAGCTGGCTTTTCATTAACTCATACCTGCGGATTTGCCTCTGTATTTTCCATTTTTCGCCTTTAATGCAAGTCCAAGAAAAAAACGCCCTACAGTCGTATGTTGGAGTCCCCCTTTTTGACGTCCTGCCCCCCCCTCGCCCCATTCCCTCCTCTTCCTTTCCGCCACAGTATGCTGCCTGCTCTATATGTGGCACAGGATCCAGTCCAAATGTTTTCCATATTAGTTCAGAGCCTTCTCTGTTTCCAAATAGCATCTATGCCGGGCTGCGGTCAGAGGAGGCCTGGGAAGGGAGGGAAAGGGAGGCAGAGAGAGAGAGAGAAAGAGAGAGACGGCAGGCAGGCTCATCCACCTCAAAAACGGCAACGATAGTAGTCGAGAGTTAAGGGAAAAGAGTTCAAAGAAAAGTGGAGACATGGGGCAGGGGCAGAAAGGTTCCTCAGACCAGAAAGAGGGCAAGAAGAAGTGGGATGAAAGCCCAGCGTCGGAGGACGGACACAAATGCAGAGTCTGTCGCTTCCCTCTGCTCATCGCCCTGCTCCAGCTGCTGTTGGGGGCGGCCGTCACGGCGGTGGCCTTCTTTATGTTGGTCGTCAGCCCCTCACTGCTGACCAGAGAGACGCCGTACTGGGCTGGAATCATTGTAAGCTTCACCCTCACCTCGTACATCAGCAACTGCATTCACACGCTTGCATGGAGCCTGATACTTCCGCATGGCCGTCCATGTCGCTGCACGTGTTGCCCAATCTTCATCACACTGCATGTCAACACTGGTCCTTACCCCCTGCAACAGTCATGGGGGGGCATTGTGAAATCACTGGTAGCGTCATGTTCAAACAAGGTTCCATCTGTAATTTTCACCCGGATGGATGCGCTTCATTCTACAATCCGTCTCAGTCACAATAGCCTGCTTGGGCCTTCTGTTGTTTTTCTTTTAATTCCCAACAAATTCTGCACATCTGGCACAGGTGAGACGTCCCATCAAATCACACCGTGAAATGGATTGTTTATTCTGTAATTTCTTACACTTATCACCTCAAGATGCAAAGCCATTGCACGTGAAATATTGTTTGCGAGATTGCGAGTTTAAGTTGACACATTCAAAGTTATCATTTCTAAGATTCAAATCTTACGTCCTTCAGAGAGATCCCAAAGGGAGAACAATCAACAAACATGTGTAGTTTACAGTAAAGGGTCTGATGTTGCTTGAAATGAGAGATTTTTAATCTCTCATTTCAAGTTCTTTAAATTGCTTTGCCGGTATTAACGAGGGCAAAGTCTTTGGACTTTGTTGTGCAAACAACAAACAGCAAATGCCGTAGCGTTTATCCCTTTGAGGTTGGGTCAGCATGGAGCAATAATCCTAGCAGCTTGGTTGTGTGTAGAGTTTGCCCTGTAAGGAATGATAAACTTTACATTTTACAGTCACACTCACATAATGTTCTTCCCAAAATATGTCAAGAAGACATGTGTTATTTTTGCCACAACAGCAGATGTCAGTTTCTTAGAATTCAGCGATGTTATTCACGTTTGACTGACATGCACCGTAAATAGGTATGTTTTTGTTACCTGTAACCAGTAAACGTGGCCATTTACAGTCACAGCGGCAGTTCAAACAAGGAGAAACCATTCTACATCAACCATAAATAATCTACTCAAATGTATATACTTATTACCTGGTATTTGTATTCATTTTCATGGGGAATCGGACTTAAGAGGTTAAAATAGCTGTTCGTTCGATGTTGTTAGAATATTTGTGGGTGAAGTCCTTTTAAAATAATTATTTAGGAAATCCGGAGAAATCTGATGAACTCGCAGCTCAACAGTAAAGAAGAAGTACACTGAAATTTTGACATTTTGGCACTGAACCAGCTTCATTTGAGGAATAAAAGATGTCTGTCTGAATGCTGTTAACCTACGACATGTTGCTCCTGTTTGGATCCTATCCTCCTATCACCCTCAAAAACATCCCTGGATACCAGCATCCCGAGTTACACCCTCACGAGATTCATCCCAGGGGAAAACTGAAAATCCTGAGTGCTTAAAAACCTGAGAAAAACATTTATATTAGATGCTGCACGCCAGTCACAAGACTCCATTTGGGCTGAAGAGAGAGAGTGTGAGTGTGTCTGTGTGAGAGAGAGAGAGGCAGAAAGAGAGAGAGAGAGAGAGTAATGTAATCAGATGACTGCCTAGTGGTGAATCATGCAATATTAAGTGACACCCCTGAAAACCTGGCCACAAAATATCGAACAACATTCTTGTTTCTATGCGGTGTCTACCATAAATACTGTGCAACATACAGGAAGTATATATATATATATATATATATATATATATATATATATATATATATACTTCCTGTATGTTGCACAGTACACTGAAATATATATATATATATATATATAGCAACAAGTGACAAATACAAGTGCATTGGTAACTGCATTTTGTTGTGGTTGAAGGCCACAAAATAAGTATTATGTTTATAGTTGTCCTGATGAGAGTGAGTGAATCTAATCCGACTGTTTTCTGGTGTGTTGTTGCAGCTGTGTTTAGTTTCCATCCCGGGCTTTATCCTGTACTGTGTCACCTACCTCCCCGACGAGAGGACGTCTATTCAATTCATTGTCAAGGTCGGTCCGCGCACCCTATTTCAACACACTGTTTGCTCAAGTGAAAGAAAACAAATCAGTTTGTGAATGACAATTGTGTTCTGTTCTGGAGTCAAATCAGGTCCCCATATTAGTGTCAAATGTGTTGCTTTGAATTGTAAAACAGGCACATTATATCTTAGTGGCGGTCAAGTTATGGTGAGATTTTGAAAAAGGTATTTTCTTTTTTGAAAATACCTTTTTAGAGGTTTTATTCACAAAAATACTTTAATTTACTCCAGATTTCACAGCAGTTTTAAAATGAACATAAATACCATTTCACATCATACACCACTCATCACTTGCATAATGCCGTAAGCAGCATGTCACTAAGAGCATAAATACACCCGCAAATGAGAGCTCCTGTTATATAAGCCAAGGATTAAGATAAAGGTTTAGTGTTATTGAGATTGTGCAATTGCATAAACAACAACATGAAGTGTATTTTTGGACGTTCTCTGTCGTTGGGCATACTCACAGGTCGTGCACTGAAGGCGGGAAGCAGCTGTAGCTCCAGCTGTAGGGCAGTCGTGCATGTGCCTTTTTTCTCCTGGGTGCTGAGCGCTGGAGGGGGGGGGGGGGCTATGGGTCAGGCCCTGCCTCGGAGCGTTGATCGTAATCTCGTTAAATTCAACTTGCACTTGTGTTGCCTCTCCGCTACAGTTTGGCCGCCGGGTCAATCACGAGACAACCGCAGAACTTGAAGTGCACAAAACCAAAAGTCGAGACCGGAAAAGGGTTTTTCCGATCGAAGCTTCTGAGGTTAAATCGCTCGACCTCTGACTTGCTTGTCTCCCGACCTCCACAGATCCTGTACTTCGCCCTGTCCGCAATTGGGCTGGTCACGTCAGTTGTGGCCATGTCGTTTGCCGGACACCACCACTCACAGACCAGTGGCTTCACCTGCCAGCAGGTCAGGATGGACTGTGTGTGCAAACTGGATCAAATGGACCCAATAGCCCGCACCTTCACCTACCAGGACGTCAGCGACTGCGAGGGAGTCACCGGGACGCTGGTGCTCTACTGCCTGCTCCAGATCGTGCTGAACCTGGCCCAGGCGCTGGTGTGCGCGCTGGGGGCCTTCGTCATGTGGAAGCACCGTTACCAGGTCTTTTTCGCCGGCCTTCAGATTGGCTCTCACGCTTCCAGGTAGTGGCAGAAGGTTTAACAAGCGTGGATGGGATGCAGAGGATCAGAGGGTCAGAGGGCGCAGGCAGCAGTGAGAGTACACCGATCGACGAGTTGCCTTTGTGGTTTTTGCCAAACGTGTCTTTTCTCAGATGTCAAATGAACCTTTTTGTGATAGTTGTTATAAAGTGGCTTTTTGCACAGGTTTTGTATGCCATGCTTATGTATACTTCCATTCTCAGTTGTTATAAAAGAAGATTAACAGCAGCAAAACAGCTGGTTTTTCGAGATAATATCTGCAGCAATAGGATTTTTCCACAATGTTTGTTATCTGCTCTAGTTATTTACTGTGCAGACATACAGCTCATTTACAATCATAAACACAACACTGAAACCAAAGCAGCTGAGTGGTACTTTTTTTCCACAATACAAAATTAAATAAATGTCTCAAGGCAACAGTAAATATACTTTTGACCGAGTAAAAATACGTACTTCTAAAAGTCACCAGGCTGATTGACTCCACGGGTTTGGTTTCTCTTGCTAGAACACGGAGCTATTCTGTGAATATTGCATAAAATCCTTAATGAAAAACAGGTGTTTTTTCAGGTGATAAAACTAACCCCTGTAATAATCCAAACAATGATAATAAAACATGTAGTAATAATAATAATACAGCAGCACAAGCTGCAGGGTCCTCGTCATGAGACTGGCTCCACACTGAAAGGGTCTCTGGCGTGAAGGTGGAAGCCAGGAGAGCAGCCAGCGTGACTCAAGCAGCCTATTGGGAGTCACAAAGTGAGGGGGGGTGTAAGGGTTTGGGGGGGGAGAAAAGGGGCACTCAGACAGGCAGCTGGATGGAGGTAACTGAACCACCTCACCGTGTTTACGTTTCTGTTGTTTGCATGCAGTTAGGAAAGAGCTAAATAGAGGATGTTCGTATTTTCAAAACGCTGCGTAGACACGTACGTGAGTTACCTGCGTCTCAGGTGCTGACGGGCTTCTCGGGTGGCTGCACACTGAGCAGCCGAAAGGTAAAACACGAGGCAGTTTCTTTCTAGATGAACCCGATTCCCAGAAACTTATATTAGTGTGCAATCGATTTTGTGGAATGAATGGAAAGAGATTGATTGACCGGTGATGATGTAAACAGTTTATTTTTGCAGAATGTGGGATTTGGGAAAGGAACATTTTCACGAATGAATAAAAGATTCTTTTTGAAGTCCAGTACTGTTTTTGGTTTGAAATTCAAATTAATTGACAAAATAAATTAATTGATTTGCTTGTGTGGTTAAAAACATTAGTAAAGAGTGAAAACTGAATCAGTGAGCATCTCTAACGACGCCTCCTCCAAATAATAACCACTTCATAGCGAAGACGGTAACGCCTGCATTTAAAATTAATTTGTCACCCACATTAACAACTAAATAGTTCTTAAAGTTCAAACGTATGAGTAATCTGATATTACTTAGAGACAACGGCGTCTCTGTCTGAGCCGGAGTTTGATCACACCAGTTAACTGATTGCTCAGAGGGAACAGATAGGTATCCTCAAGGGTCGCTCCCTCATTACAAGCCTTTATTTCTATTTCCAGTGACGAGGATGTGCATGTTTTTTGTGAATTCATTATAAATTCTGTTTAATGATGCATTGATTGAACTGAAGCTCACACTGTACACGTAGCGTGGAGCTTCTGCAGCGTGATGGACCCTGGGTCTGTAAACTGCATCTACACGTGATGCAGCACACGCTTTTTCCTTTGTGTTTTGATGTCCATGTGACATGTGACTAGAAAAGGCTCAATCGCGCTGCCAGATGCAGGAAGTCACATGTCAGTCACCATGGTGGCGTGTTTATTTATAAAAAATGAGCGAGAAGGGACCTTCCACCCTGCTCCTGAGTAACTACTGTCTGTGGGGCAATGGATCTTTAAAAAATAAAAAATAAAATAAAAACCCAGGTCCATTTCGGTTTCTGGATCCCACTGCGACCACTTACACCAAGTTTGAGAGCAACTTGGAACAACAAATTAAAGAAAAAACCCTTATGGAAGATACTGCATTTAAGCGATTCAGCTAACAACTTTCATGGTATACATTTAGTTTGAATTTAAACTGAAGCGCATATCGAACTGGATTTAAAGTGCAGGAATCGTCATGCTTGCCGTCCTTTCGGTCCTCTCACTGTATCAGAGTCTGATCGCCTGACTCACTCAGGGAAAAGCACCGTCTTTAGCCACAGAGGTGTTTAGGACACTGCCTTGTATTTATTGACCTTCTCCGGGTGTTTTTGCACTCTCACTTAAAAAACACACAGTGACGCACATGAATTTTGACTGTGCTTTGCAACCAGATAAAAAAAAAAGTTGTGCCTGTTTATAAAATATATATCATATATCGGAGCAAATATTCTTTTAAGGAAGCGATGGATGCCTGAAGCAGTACAGGTTTGTTTAGCATCACGCCGTGGCAATAAGCCTTCAGCCAGACGTTAATGATGGTCTCAGCGTTACCCTCCCCGACTCCAATACATTCCGGTAGTGCCGCCCTTTACCCCTTCGTTGTCTACGCAGGGACAGCTGCTCACCATCATGGACCTGCGAGAGCTCCTTTTAATGGCCGTCACAGGCAGCAGGACAAAATGCAGGCCTGCCAGCGTAAACGGCCCACTGAGTCAGGAACATCTATAGCCAACGTATGTTAGACATGCAGGAGATTTGACACGCTGGTTGGTGCGTAACATTGGACAGTGAGACAATGAGACAAGAAGACAAATAACAAGACTTCTCTGTAGAGGGTAAATGACTGGACGGGATAAAAGAACCGATTCTTTATCAACAAAATGTACTGAATGCTAAATTAACTGCACTGTGAACGGATATGCGCACAGACCCAGATTAAAACGGTGCTTGACAACTAAAAAGGGAATTGCATGAAAAAGGAAAAACACAGGCCTCAACAGTTTTGTGGATTTCTTTTTCTAGGACAGTGATTCCCGACCTGTCTCATGTAAACCCGCAGCTCTCGTCAGATCAACGAAGATACGCCTTCAGTTACAACATTAAATGTTTTGAAATGGGATGTTATCCAATAGGATTCATTATATAAAAAGTTGTAAAAAGTCACAGCAATTTGACAAACAACTGAAAAGTCAGTTAATTGGAATTTGCATCAGCAAAACCACCACCTGCAGGGCAGAAGTGGGATGTTTCATTTACAACTACCAATGTAATCTACTATACAAGCTATTCACTCCATTTATTCCTTTACCTTCAGTTATGGTACAAATAACCTAGTAGGTGAAAGACTGTTCCATAAATCAAGCTTAATCTCTTAAATTTTATATTTTTGATTAATTTGAATAATACAATATTGTCCTGTCACCGATACGCCGATATAAGATCAAAATCTAATAGTAGGTTGTGTGTGTGTGTGCAGAGGCGGTCAGGTGCATCCCAACTGACTCTGCTGTTAAAAAAGCTGCTGACTCAAAGGACAAAGATCAGTCTTGTTACAAATTTATTACAACGTATTACCCCATAAAACAGAATTCTCTCGACACTTGTTGTGTCTGTGTTTAAACAGAAAGTGTCCCAGGACAGTTAATATTGAGCGCATGCGCATAGAATCTGCCGAGTTTAAAACACAAGGTCAGACTTCACAATCGATTGCAATCCAAGAGACATTGATTTACATTTATAAAATAAAACTAAGAAATAGTGGAAGATGAAGATGACACAAGTTGATAGTTAATTACAGTATAGGCATCTCTATAGATGTTCACATTGTAACAAAAATGTAATCAGAACATCTTCGGTCTAATATTGTGTACCAATATATGATGTTGACTTAAAATAAAATTTCAAGTAAGTTCTGCTCAGGTAATTTTTTTAAAATCACATTTGTTATTTATATATTCTGTATAAATGTATTTAAAAAAAACTGAAATGGTGCAACAAATGCATTTTACAAATCCAAATACCCCAAATCACTAATGTTTCCAGTTACAGGGCTACATTTTTGCACTTATAAAAAAAAAAAAAAGGTGCACTTTCAGCAGTTGCAATGCACGGTTTAGAAAAGTGAATGTGTAAGGCAGCATGACATGTAAATAAAACACCTGCTACAGACCGCACATTTTGTCATAAATTAGAATTTTTTTGTTTTTAAAAAGGTAAAAAAGGGAGGACCTCCCACCCCCCCCGTGGAGGACAAAAGCCCCAAACGTTTCAAACACACTGCCAACCCCTGAGCCGCTCGTCCGCTTGCCAACGCGTCAGCACCGAGGACGCTCGAGGAGCGAGACGCGACGTCCGCCGACCGGTCTGGCACACAATAACACTGGCAGGTGTGTGCTGCGCGCCAGGCCAATCATTCACCAAGCGCAGCGCCTTCGTGCAGGGAGCAGGTGAAGGCTGCTCCGTAAGGCGACATAAAAAATAGGCACAGTTTGAATCCCGTGACAAAATAAAAAAGAAAGAAAACCGTTGTCACCTCTTGCATTCGGACACCAGTAATCGAAAGTAAATCCATGTATTGTTTTTATGGTTGTAGTTTTCTGTGTTTCTGCATCGTCTTTACTGCGGGTCTGCAGTCAAGTTGCCGTCGCGTTTGAGCGCGGAGCCGCTCAGTGGGTGAGATGGTTGGCCTGAGGGGGACCCAAGAGTCCAAGCCTCTGCTTATTTTTCCTCTGTTCAGTCATCTGTGAAGGACACAGGAGGGGAAAAAAACAAAAACATGACAGATATTGTGAGATTTGTGTCCCCTCCAGGGTTGTGTACAAATTGCTTTGTAATCACTGTAATAACTGGAAACAAAAATGTCTCTAGGAACCTTCAATAGAGGAACCTTTCATGTGCTGTGCACAACAGTGAACTGCATTAAACGCAATGATTAAAAAAATTCTGATTAGATGGTGAGAAAGTTTCTCCCTACCGTTCAATTTGCAGTGTCTTCAGTGTAATAACGACATTACAAAAGAAGGCCACTTGTTTTGTAAACACATTAACTGTAAACGCAGATTTACAGTTCACAGTCCACAAAAATTGAGGATGCTGTGCAAAACTAACACACACTCAAGAGTTGTGATAGTGTAAAGCGCAGAGGTCAGCAGAGGTGGTAATGAGCCGCAGGAGCACTTTCCAGCCGGTCAGAAACCGTTAAGTTGCCCGGGTGTGAGGCCTGCGGGCCGCCCCTTGTGACTGCAGTGCTTTGGTTCTGCCCGCTTCAACTCACTCGCCTCTCAAGGTTCCTGTTTACCGCCAAGGTGGGGGGGGGGGGGGGGGGGGACATCCTCACAAACCCATGACTCTATATTAGTCAGCTTGGACTACTAAAGCTGCATTGTGGTTTTGGTCAACTGCAGGCAATGTATTATTCCAGGTTCCAGAGATAAGGCATCGGTGTCTTGCTCGAGGGCACTTTAGCCGCACACAAAACACCGCCGGGAGACACAGACGGATTCCCTCAGCGAGGTTCAGAGAAATTGTTTTTGTGCAATGTGATCCTTTCTCAGTACGACCCGATTTCACACATTTAGCAGAAGAGGAAAAAGGACAAGGCCTGTGACTGGAATCACATGCAAGGCAGACAGGTGATGAGTGATAAGTCACACCGCAAGCAGCACGGCGAGTCATCCAAGCAGCCACCGGCTCACTGGGGCAATCAGTCGAGATCCATAGTCACCGAGCTGAACAACGTAATGAGACGGGTGGTGGAATGAGAGCTTTTCCGTGTGACCTCTTGCCCTGTAGGTGTTGTCAGGTTTCCCCCCCCCCCCCCCTTGTACTTTAGCTTAGTCATCAGGCTTTCAGTTCAGACCACCACGGGCTCCGACCGGAGACCTTCCCACCACAGCGCGATAACGGTGGTTTTGAATTGGCACAGTACCTGTTCTTTTAGCTCAGCCAGCTGTCCAGACAGCTGAGAAACCAGAGTGACCGTGCTGTCCAGTTTGTCCTGCAGAGAGCGCATCTCGTTCTGCTCGCTGTCCCCCTCGCTGCTCACCAGAGACATGGCTCTCATACGGGGGAACCACTCCAAGTTCTTCTCCTGGGGAGGAGAGATGGGATGTGAAAAATAAATAAATAAATAAAAGCAGCGAGAAAGGTGAAAGGCATGAAAAGGCCAGGATAAAGCTGACTCAGTAGGTCAGAGAGACGTGGCGCAAACAACAACGCCGCCGCCGATTTGCACAGACGCGCACGGAGCATGGCAGATCGAATGGCG